GTTGTGCTCATATTTAGACGTCCTATTTTGCAAATGCTGCCTTCTTGAAATTTGGAATGCTTGTTTGTCTTTGTGTCTATGGTGTATAATGATGTGATTGTGATGCTGTATTTCTGAGTGTTTTATGTGCTGCAGAATAGGAACCTGCTGTAAAACAGCAATTATGCTGAGTCAGGCTTGATTTTTAGTAATATTTTCCTGTTAAATCAATAAATCAAATCAATCAACATCCATGTGGGTTTACAGTTGCAGCGATATTGGTCATCAGTGTTGGAGCTACAGAAGCCACAGGGCAAAGGTCTTGTGTGTCACCCCCCCCCCCCACACACACACACACACACACACACACACAACATAGCCGCATTAGCCGCGTTTCCATCAACGTTTTTTAAAGCACATTTTGAAGTATGGCAACAGAAAAGGTAAGTGGAAACTGTATGATTCGAATAAACGTACTCTAATTTGCATAAAAGTTGATACGCTCGCTTGAGGTGATTTTTGGATTTTTCGAAAAAGAGTTTATTTGCAAAAGGAGAGATGGAAACACATTTGCCAAATAAGTTCTGACGTAGCAAACATTTACCTCACGTGGTTGATCAGCTGTTCCTGCATTCTAGCTGTCTGGTACCGGTCCTGGTACCAGATCGACTGCAGCTGCGACTGGCAGCAGGACCTTCCTCCCGCTGTCGGCGTATTCTCAGTTATTCCCGTAACGTGAAGAGAATTACTTTTTTTTCTACGTCTCCAGACAGCATGTAACATCGCCAGAACTAGCTGATATGACAGAATAATTACAATTTTCCCGATAGTAGCAACACATTCTTGATAACTTCTCTCCTTGGTCCTGAGATGTGTGGACTAGGGTTGGGCATAATCGTATCGTGTGCAATTAATCTTCAGAAAAACATTAATCGATTATTTTTTGGCACATGACAATTAATACAATTAATGCCAGCAGGCAGACTGACTGGAGATTGCTCCTCTCCGCTTCAAATATGACAAACGTAAAAAGTTCTGTAATTTCATTATCTACCAACACAATTTAAAAATCGATTTAAAGCCTGAAGTCTGTAATTTTGACACAATTTGGAACAGATTTTTACGAAGAGCAAATCTTTCCCACTAAATTGGTCATTTGACTAGGATATAAGGGCGTCCAGGGACTCCGGGGGATTAATTATCATCAAATTACTCGTTATCGGCTAAATACCACAATTAATTGTGATTAATTTTTTTGCCAATATTGCCCAACCCTAGTGTGGATCCTGTGAGTTTGTGACTTTTACTTCCTGTTTACTACACACATGCGTCTGACGTAACTGATTCGCTTCAAGCCAGTTGATGGAAACACGTCTGATTCGCATCTCTTTGTTTTTTCCCTTTCTGTGAAATTTTAAAAATTTGCTCAAAATTTGAATTAAAATTGGATGGAAACACGGCTATTGACAGTAACAGGTGTGGTGGCTAGCAGACAAGCAATTACAACGCTGAAAGTTCTTCTTTGTGACAGAAACAATAACAGATCAGAGGGAAGATTAGAGCTAGAGGGGGCAAGACATGGAGCGAAATGAGAGAATGAGAAATGAGAAGAAAACAAGAGCAATT